CACATGTTTTAAGGTCTAACAGGGCAGATCCTCCTTATTCGTCTCCTTTTAAACAAATTTCCTGATTAATCTTGCATGTTTGTTTTTCCATGTGCACTTTTGTTGCTATTTTAATTAAGACAGCATCAAATGTGTACTTTTAATTTAGGGAAAACTGGACTTTTTACAATATTGCCTCTTCCTTTACAAGAGTATGCTGCGTTTTTCCATTACTTTACGTCTTTTTGGTGGATTTTTAGTTTTTCTGTATAATTTCTTTACAAATGAGAAACTTGCTCATTTTTTATTGTTTCTAGGTGTTTTATGTTCCTTAGTGCTATTGTGCTCAGAGTCCTCCATTATAGGCTCCAACTGATTACTGTCTGCTTTATGGAAACTGTTGTCCTCTCTGTGATGATGCTTCCTACCTGCCCCTAACTTACTGCTTCCCATGGCTTTTCACTCATCCCTAAAGTTTTCTAGTTAGACAATCACGTTATCTGCAAATAATGATAATGTTGTTTCTTCCTTTCAAATATTTTTACCTTTTTTCTCTCATTTGTCATTGCAGTGGCTAACACTTCTGAGTGGAATGGAGGTGACCGTGCACATCGTTCATTGTCACAGAAGTCCTCTTGTGGTTCCTCCGCCGTGGCACGTGGTCCATACAGGGCTCATCGTGGACCCAGGCCTGCTCTCGGCATGTCACATGTGAGGACGGTCCTGCTCTTATCCCATCTGAGGAGCCGTGATGGACATAGAGGGTGAATGAACTTACCCAGAGTCACACAGCTGTTGGAGAGTGAAGCCCACAAGAAGGGCAAAAGAAAGGGAATCAGAGTGTGGGTTGAAAGAACATAGGGGAGTCGCTAGTGCAGAGCTAAGACGTGAAGGGTCTGGCTGTTAGCCCTGTTTTGTTGCTGGGGGGAGGGGCCCTGCATCCCATCATGGAGTGAGGATTTAAAGAGTACAAAAAGAGAAAGAGATGCAGAGGATAGAAGGGGTAGGCATCCTAAAGTCAGAAAAGTATTAAAACTGAGAGGAGAAAATATTTGAAAACAATGGAAGTTAATTTTCCAGAATGAAAGAAAAATAAGCAACCTCATAGATTATAGGCTCACAGGACAATCCACACCTTCAGAAAGTTCTAGAAGCATCCTGAGAGAAAGAACATGGAACAAGAAGCCAGTGGACACGGGAGTTCTCAACAGCATACCAGGAGACCATGAAGTAATTTTTTAAAAAAATTTTTTTAAATACAAACTTTGTACCAAAATTTTATATCCAGCCAAGTGGAAAGTATAATAAAAGTATTCTCAGGAATCTAAGGCCTCAGAATGTTTTTTTCCCCAAAACCCACATTAAAAACTTTATATTTCATAAACAACAGAAATGCAGGAGAATCTTCAAGAGGGATGGAAAATAAGGATGACCAAGTTCCTTGGAATGAGTATTAATTATTTTAAACAAAAGCAAGGACCAAAGAAAAGAAAAAGTATGTCCAGATTAACTCAGAACTATAGTCCTAGACAATATCAGCGCCTGGGAGTAAAGGATATGTGACCAGGCTGAAGAACTTGAATGTTTGGGAGAATACATAACTACAGAGGGTACACAGGTTACATAAAAACAGTGTTAAATTCAGGGCAGTTGCCATAAGAATAAAAATAAGAACAAGGATAAAACAGAAGAAGAAAATTCACTATACTCAATGAGAAATAGAAAAAAGTAAATACAGTAAATAAAATTTTGAATAGGACAGCAAAACTAAGTCTCAATGTAACAGTAATTACTATAAATGTAAGTGGATTAAATTCCAATTAAAAGGAAGAAACCAAAAAAGAGGTACAAACTGATTAGATTTTAAAATTCTAACAATGGGTAGCTTAAAAGAGAAATACTTGGGGCACCTGGGTGGCTCCATTGGTTAAGCGTCTGCCTTCAGCTCAGGTCATGATCCCAGGGTCCTGGGATCCCGTCACATCTGGCTCCCTGCTCTGTGGGGAGCCCGCTTTTTCCTCTCCCTCTGCCCCTCCCCCTACTTGTGCTCTCTCTCTCTCTCTTTCTGTCAAATGAATAAATAAAATCTTAAAAAGAGAGAGAGAGAAACACTTAAAAAAGATACAGAAAGTTTAGAATAAAAAGTTGGCAAAAGACATACTAGGCAAATATGAACCAAAGCAAACTAGATTGACATCTTAATATATGACATTCAAATTTAAGACAAAAAAATAAAAACAAAAACAAAGGGCACCACATGCATACTGATGAAATGGGCCACAGAATGATTATGCACCCCCATCAAAGTCATTTTAATACCTAAGAATATGTCTCAATACATATCACGCAACATCTGCCAGAACTGCAGGGAGAGAGAGATATTTCAACAATTGTAACTGGAGGTTTAAATTTTTAAAATAATAATTTAATAGCTCAAGCATACAAAAACCTAGCAGAAATCTCCAAATCCTAATCAACATAATTAATTATCTTGAACTGTTAAATATATACAGAGCTGTATGCCCATCAAACAGAATACAACCTTTTAGAGCACATGTAAAATATTCACAGAAAGAGACCGGGTGTTAGGTCCTAAAGGTGTTAGGACCTGAAGAAGCCTCAATAAGTTTCTGAGGCGAAATTCCCTGCAGACTGGGCTGCTACGTTCGTTTGTGCTTCTAGGTCATCTTTACCCCATGCTCTAAGAGACCACCCTAAATGGACCTTGTCACTTTCACTGGGTGCCCCTGCATTCCAGCTGCCCTTTGGGCTCAGCCAAAGGGAGCACTCCCAGATCTAGAGAGGAGGGAGTGTGAGGTCCAGGGGCTGGTTGCTCTGATCCCTCCTGATGAGTGCTCAGGCTGGCTGCATCCCTCAACTGAGGACTCTGCCCCTTCCAGGGGCTGCTCCCTCTCCTTCTCAGCCCCCCTCACTCAGTCCATAGTGTTACCCCAGTGTTACTCAGTCCTGTGGTTTCCCTACTCTTATCTACTCGTTTGTAAATAGTCTCTTTATCAAACATTCCTCAAATTACCCAATTGGGGTGTGCCATCTGCTTCCTGCCAGGATCCTGACAGAACACAGACTCTGTTCTCAGACAATAATACAGTTAAATTAGAAATTGGTAACAAGTTATAATAAAAAAAATACCGAAGCAAGCAAACAAGAAATGCTATTGGAAAGTAAATAACATTATTAAATAAGGCATGGGTTTGTAACTCATGAGTTTAAAAGAGATCATCAGGGATGCTAAGAAATATTTAGATCTGAATGATAATGAAACACTGTATGTCCCAATTTGTGAGACCCAGGAAGGCAGTGCTGGGGAAGGAATTTTGCAGTTTTAAATATATCTATCAGAAAATTAAATAGGTCAAAAATAAATGAGCCTAAGCACTTAACTCAAGATGGAGCAGCATATCAGATCCAAAGAACCAGGAAGGAAGGAAATAATAGATACAGGCAGGAAAAAGTGAAATAAAGGGAAAGATGAGAAGATGAACAAAACTAAAAGTTGGCCTTTTGGAAATATTTAAAAATATTAAAAAAGGAAAAAAAGCAAATAAACAAAGTATAGAATAAAAAGGAGAAATAATTACAGAAGCAGTTGATACAAAAATGAATGTATGCTAGTAATTTTAAAACTCGATGAAATTGATTAGTTCCTAGAAACATATAAAATTTGGCTCAAGAAATAGAGAACTCTACCAGATCAATAAATATGATGAAAATGGAGATGATAAAGTCCCCCCCCCCATAGCTTTATTGTTTCTACCAAAAGTTTGGAAAAACATTAATTTCTCTTTTATGTAGGTGGTTCCAGAAAATAGAAAAAGAGAAATTGTCTGGGGGCCTTTGCGGGCGAGGGTGAGAAGGTGGTCTCCTTTACAGAGCGGATATGTGTCTGTGCCCTTGTTACTTTGGGGGCGTATGCCACACCGATGCTGCAAATCGAGGTGAAGCCCCCCTCCCTCACTGGGTCTTGTGAGGATTCGATGGGAAACTAAATAAAACCCTTAGGGCAGCGCCTGGCACCTGCCGGTCTCTAGGCGAGGCTGAGCCACAGGGATGCAGAGAATGCTGAGGACAGGAGCTGGGGTGGAAAGGGTCCTGGGGGCCCCCGCTTTCACTATGGCATGACGTCATTGCACCCACCGCAGTTCCGGTGGGTGAGCTGGCCCGAGGCTTTGTCAAAGTTTGTACCCCTAGGGCGGCGAATGGAGGGTGCTGGCAACAGAGATGTCAGCCCATCCGGTGGCCCAGAAAGCGACTGGGGAGGTTGACGAAGGCCAGGTTTGCCCGTGCGGACCCGGAGCAGTGTGTGACTTGCTCCTGGGAAGTCAAGCTGGGGAGAAAGTCTGGGCGGGGGTGACAGTGGGGACTGATGACCTGGAGAAGTGGGGCGGGCAGAGGGTGGGGGTCTACACCAAGGCATGATGGGAGGAGAGGCGGCAGCCTCCCGCCGGCGGGTTGCATCATCCCCGCCAGAAGAGCTGTCTGCGATGCTCTGGTCCCCTCCAGTGCTCTGACCAAGACTCTAGATGCCATTTAAAATGCACCTGTTACACCCAGAGTCGGTGCTCCCTCCCTGCCCCCCACCACCCCTCCCTGCTGCAAGGAGCCCACTCGGGCTTTGTCCCTCTGCGACCAAGCGTTTGTGCTGCCAGCCTCGCCGGGAGCGGGGGGTGGGGGGGCAGGCGGAGATTTCACTAGAAAGGGATCAGAGTGGGGGAAGGCCCGGCGCGGGATCCGTGGCGAGTTCGGGTGGGGGGGTGGCCTCGGGGCTGGGCGCCGTCTGGTCACTCTCCCCTGAGCGAGGGCGCGCGGGGACTGCGCCCGTGGAGGGGGCGCCGCGTCCGAGCCCCGTGTAGGTTCGCACCTCTCCACCGAGCAAACCGCTGTGTCGGCGGTGATGTCACAGCTCGGCTCCGGCCCCCTCCGGTCCCAGCCTCCTCCCCGAGGCGGCCGCGACGCCCGTCCCTCTCCCCGCGCGACAAACCAGCTGGCGGCTGGGGCTCCAGCGCCGCGCGCAGCCAACCAGCGCGGCGGGAGGGGCGCGGGGCGGGCCGGGCCGGGGGCGCGCAGCCCGTCACGCGGTGCCGCCGTCACAGCGCCCAGCGCAGCCTTGGAGCAGCAGCAGCTCCGCGCTCGGGGACCCGCGCCCATGCCCGTGCCCATGCGGGGCCGCCGCCAGTGACGCCGGAGAGGTAAGGCGGCCGCCCGCCTGGCCTCTCGCACCTGCGCTCCGCTTCCCACACCTGCATCAGGTGCGCCCGGCGTGGGGAGCTCACGCCCGGAGCCGCGTCCTTGTCACTGTCGGAGGCGCCGGCGCCGCGCGCGCGACCCCTTCCCTTCCCCCGACCCTCCCCCGTCCCTGAGGAGAACAATGGGGCAAATTCAGGGGTGTCCCTCTTTCATTCGCGTCCCGGCAGGGCCCTCGGGAAAGGCCCCGTAGCTGCGGCCTCTGCTGTGGCGGGGCTCTCGCTGGGAGGGGCGGGGGTCGCCACGGAGAGGGCGCGCGCCGTCGGTGGTCTCTCAAGACGCCCCCTCCCTAGCTTCCTCGCTCCAGTCCTTTCCTGGAGAGGGGCCGCGGAGCTAGACCCGCGCGGGGTGGGGGGCGGAACGGGCAGGGGAGAAGGGGAGAGCACGCGGATGGGGGCGCGGGGGAGCGCGCGGGGCAGCTGCCCGAGTCCCCCGGGTGGGGGAGGGCGGATGCTGGAGCCCAGAGCATAACAGAAGGGCGGGCGGGGCCGGCGGGGGCTGCGGCGGGAGGCCAGCTTCGTGCGCACCTCCGGGACTGCCCGTCACCATCCCCCAGCCGCGTCCTCCTCCCGAGAGACCCTAGCTCCCTTCTAGAAAGGCTTGGGAGGGGCCGTCAGCGGAGGAGGCCTGGGTCTACGCAGCCAGCGCCCGAGTAACAGGTGTGGCCCGGCGGCGGGCGGGGAGGGGGCTGCGGGGCCGCCCGACTCGGATGACAGGGACGAGCACGCCGCGAAGACCCCTGGTCTCCCCTTTTAGGCTGCTGCTCACCCTCTCTCCTCCCACCCCAAACCAGCGGCGCTGCCAGCGCGCTGGCGAAGGGGTGGCGGAGGCATCCCGGCGCGGAGGGAGGGTCTGCAGTCCGCTGGGCGCTAGGTGGGCGGGGGGCGGGGGGACAGCGGGCTGCAGGGGCGAGGGGGAGGGGAGGGAGGGAATGCCAAGTCATGGGGCCTGCTGGGCGCGGGCGCGACGTCGCCCCAGCGCGGACCCGATGCGCGCCCTCGTTCCCAGGAATAGCGACTTTCCCTGAGAGACTGGTGCCCCCTCCCCAAGAGGCGGCCCCCTCCAAGGGGTGCCCGCATTGCTGGGATTAAAGGCCTGTTAGGGCATCGAACTGGATCTTGTGGCTGCGGGGAGTAGGTGCGGAGAGGTCCTGACGCTCAGGGCTGGCCATGTCCTAACCCTGGGGGGAGGACTCTGCAAGACCCAGAGCGCAGGCTCCTGCAGAGCCGTCCCACCCGACCCACCCTCCCTGCCCTGCTCTCGATCTGGCTAAAGGGGCTCTGCCAGGGCAGCCGTGCGCATCTGCCTCGCCTCTCAGCCTGAGAAGGCAGCTGCAGGTTTGAAGGGAAGCTCTGGGGTCCAGAGTGGGGGGTTGGGGCTGTACCTGCGGCGGCCATTTTGCAGGTGTGGTTGGCCACCCTCCTTAGCTGGGGCTGTGGGGTGAGGGTGGTCAGGTGTGGAGCAGGTGTGGCGCCTGCAGTGGGGTGCAGTGTCTGCAGTGTAGGGTGAGGGATGCTGCGACGGCCAGGGCCCAGGTCTGCTTTTGGTTGGGGTGAAGATCCAAGGAGGGTTGATGTTCGCAGGGAGGCCACTGGCTGAGAAACCCAGAGGGGGTGGAGGGGACAGTCAGCCTCTACCTCGGTGCGAAGTCTGGGGAGGGTATTGGGTTCGAGATAGGGACAAGATGAGCAATTCTGTCCCACATTAAGCCAGGATCTGAAGACAGGCAGTGTCTTCTGTGGGGTGTGGTCTACAGGACAGAGCCTGGGATCAGGTTTGGAGTCAGGGCTCCCCAACCCCAAGACTGTCTGTGGGGAGGGGCTATGAGGATGGCCTGCTGAATGTCTGCTGTGTGCCCCCTTCCCCCACACTGGCGTGCTCCCACAGACTGACCCCTGGGGCCTTGCACGGGGCCAGCCACATGGAGACTGAGCAGAGCTAGAATTTATCAAGACCCCTAGGACAGAGGACCCTGCCACCCTGCCTGGTCTCCCTTCAGGCTCCTGGTGTCACCACTGCTGACCCAGGGCTGATGATGGTAGAGCAAGGAAGTCCTCCCATGGGTTCTGTGGAGGAGAGATGGGATTGGGGGAGGCACAGGGGGTGGGGGGCAGAGATGGGGGCAACACAGCTTCAGGAGAATGCCCTTAGGGGGGGCTGGGGGGCTGCATAGGCTCACTCAGTTTGCATAGGCCAGCCAAGGCAGGTGAGCTGGGTGTGGCAGGGGGAGGGAATGTTCTGATGGGATCCTGGTACCACCAGATTGGGGGCCATGGAGGGGCTACCAGCTTTGGGAACCACGCCCTGGTCTTTAAGGATCAGGACACAGGCCTCCATGCCTGAGACCCCATACTTCTAAGAGTGGGGAGGGGCCTGAGCAGCCCCCCTGGGGTGGAGACTGGCGGGCCAGGGGTCATGCAGCAGCTAGTGACCCCCAGGATGAGCACGTGGTTGTCCTCCTGCCCAGTCCCAAGTGCTCCCTAGAGCACTGCCCCATTTAGGGTTCTTAGACCCAAAGGAGGGGACCCCCACCCCCCACCCCCCTCCACTGTCTCCCTCTCCCCATCCATACCCAGGAGCATCTCAGAGCTCGGTTGGGGCTGGACCACACCCTGCTCCAAACCTCTCAGCTTGGCTGGGGTGCCCAGGGGCAGAGCCAGGCAGGTGGGTCTGTTCAGTACCCTGTTCTGTCCCATTAGCTGATGGGCCTCACCCCACAGGCAGGGCTGGGGTAGCAGGCAGAGGGTAAGGGTTGGGGTTGGGGGTATGTGATCCGCTGCCCCACCTGACCGAGCAGCTTTGCAGTTTAACTCCTGAACACCATGGGGATTCTGGCTTTGGGCACTACCCCCAGCTCAGGGACTCAGCAAAGGGGTCATTGCACTGGGTACGTTGGGAGGGTGGAGGGTACAGCTGAGGCTGAGCCCCCTGACCCCTCTGGGCTCCTCTCCAGCCCTTCCTGTGTGCCTCTGTGGTCATGTCCCCAGCCCCCAGCCAGCTTCCTCCCTGGTTTTGTAATCTGAGCCTCTCATGAGCCCCTTGCCAGCCCCGGAGGCCTCACTAGGTACCATCCCTGGGCTGGATCAGGATTTACCTGCTGCCTGGGTGGCTAGGCATCCGAAAGGAGGGGCTGTCGCCTCTGTAAAGCCTCCGCCCCCTGGATTTAATCTCTTGATAATCCTGGCCTGGAGTCCAGCTGCCCAAGCTCTGCCCGCCCTCCCCCTCCCCCATTCAGAAGCGGCGGGGCAGGGAAGCGCCCCTGCCCTGCTCCCCTGCTAGGTTTCAGGGCTCCCCCGGGTGCGGGGAGGGCCAGCAAGCTCCACATCAGTCACCCAGTGCATGCCCACACACACAGAGTCCCTTACATTCAGTCTCAACACACTCCCCCATGCACACTCAGACTCTTGCCCTCCCCGTCTCACACACACTCGTACGCATCTTCACACACGCACACTCACGTCCGCTCAGACGCCCTTACCCAGCCTCACCCTCTCACACTTACACAGACAGCCTCGCACACCCACACGCACTCTTACATGCTCGCACACTCACCCACACATGTACTCTCACACACACAACCCCCACATGCTCTTATGGTTTTACACGCTCACACACACCCGCACGCGCACTCCCTCGCGCTCGTGCGCACACGCACGCAGCCCTCACTTGTCTTTGTTCCTGCCTCACCCTGCTCCTTCTCTGAAGCATTCCACCCGACCTCCACAGGAAGTCCCTGGACCACCCAGATTCCACCACCTTGAAGCCTCCTGCAAGCCCCCAAGGTGTCCCTCCACCCCCACTGTGGGCGGGGAGGGTCGGGGGAAGAAAGTGAACATTCATTGGGTGGAGACTTGGGAGACCTCATGGGGTGTTCCCAAGACCCCAACCAGGCAGGTGGTGCCCCTCCACTTCTCAGCTCTGCAGACTGAGGCCCCCGGACCCCATCCAGCTGAGAGTCCGTCCAGCTCCCTAGACCCCAGACTTTCTGCCCGCCTCAGCACCCTTCTACCCCGTCCCCCGACCTGCCCTCCACCCCACCCCTCTACCCCAGCCTCAGCCTGCCCCCTACCCCTCTCCTCTACCCCCACACCCCCCCACCCTACTCCTCTACCCCACCCCACTCCTCCACCGCATTCCTCTACCCCACTTCAGTCCTCCACCCTACTCTACCGCATCCTCAACCTGCCCCAACCTGCCCCCACCTCACTCCTCTACCCCACCCACCCCCACTCTCCCACCCCCACGCCAATCCGCTACCCCCACCACCCCACCCACTGCCTCTGCCTGCCCCTCCAGGTCCCCATCCCACTCGTCCATCCCCACTGCCCCCACCCACCCCAGGCAATGCAGGGCCTCACACACAGGAGGTGCCCAGTAAATGCTATTTTCTTGTTGAGCCACTTGCTTTAGCCCAAGTGGTCCATTTTCTGTGGGCCCGGAGAGAGGAGCCGCCTCCCTGGCCGCATGCGGGTTGTCTGTGTGTCTTCATGTCTCCCATTTAGGGCGCAGCGGTTCCTGAGGCAGGTGCCCCCTTGCTCGGGGTCTCCTGTGAGGCTCCTGAAATGCAGTGCTAGGGCTGGGGTGGGAATGGTTCCGACTGCTCCTGCAGATCCCTCTCCCTTGAGTCCTGCCTTTGGTCTCTCAGAGGGAGGCTGATGGTGCCCAGGAGGGCCTTAGTGGGGTGTCGGGAGCCCTGTCCCCGCTCGCAGGTCTCAGCCCTGCCCGAAAAGCTCAGGTGCGCCTCAGTTTCCTTCCCCATCTGTCATCAGCTCAGCCAGGATGGTGAGGGGCAGGGCAGGGCCATCAGTGCCCAAGGCCAGTGGGTCGGCGAGGACCAGGTCTCTGAGGGGCCGTCGTGGGGCTGGGGCAGCGGGGTGACTCAGCTGCTCTGTGTCATCTGGTCCTCATTGTCCGCCCGCTTCTGAGGCCAGGGCCACCGCATGGC